TGACTAAAATAATGATGCCAGTTGCATATTACTGTAAAATATCTTCTAAGAGTGAAACAATAGCAATGATGTTATTATTAATTAATTAAATATTTGAAGTTAGAAAAACATCTAAGAAAATGTGAAATATTGGAAGAATGTGCAATATAAACCATGAACATGGATTGGGCGTTAAAGCTCCACGTATCAACACTGTTTATCTTGATGTCGAACCTTCACATATAATAAAGCGGCAGCATACATCTTAATTATATTGGAAAATTAACCTAAGACGTGTTCAAAAACAAGAATAAACACATCTTTATTTTAAAATAAAATAAGAGAATAATGAATTTTCAAAAATGTTACTAATGTTGCTAACAAAATATTAATTATTTCATAGGAGTAATATATAGCAAAATTACATTGAAAAGTAAAAAATTATTTTAAATAAATCTTAAAAATAAAATAATCATTAAGTTCAATTTTTGAAACAAAAAGAATAGAATATAATTTTGTTTAAAAAAATTGATATTTTGGCTTTAGTGTTAAAAAAACATGTTAATCAATTAATACTGTAATAGTGATAACATATAGTCGATTTACATTGAGAAATGAAAATTTATTTTTAACAAACATATTAAATAAACATATAATTAAAAATAAAATAATATTAGGTACAAGTTTTGGAAAAAGAAAAAAATCAAGCAGTCAAGATAAGAAATAGTAAAATTTCCTTTTAAAATTTTACAACAACATTAGGCTGTGATATTGATATAAAATAATAATCAAGCAATAGTAATAACATATAATAAATTATATTGAGAAATGAATTATTTTTATTAATATTAAATATTAAATAATCGGTGCATAATAATGATAGCTATCAATATTTTGGTAGTCACTTGAGATGGATTAGCATCATCAATGTTTTTTTACAATTATAATATTTAATGAAAATTAATTTAACGAATATCTTAAATCTAATAGACAGTCCAACGTGTCTTTCAAATTTTTATAAAATCAAAATACCTGATTTAGAAGGGATAGGATCCGTTTACAAATTTTTTTTTGGAAATTACACTAAGTACGACCGGTCGTACACTGCATGATTAAAATATGACCGATCGTACTTAGTGTAGTTTGTAAGCAAAAAAATTTGTAAATATAACCTGTCCCGTTTTAGAAATATAAGTTTCAAACTCTAATTTATACAAGAGAAAAACAAGTATCATGTTGTACGACAATTTTCTTGTCATGCTATAGAGACAATAAGTGTAGGGTCCATCATATTTGAAAAGTAAAAATACAGCACAAATATCAATGTATGTGTAAAAAAATTTACACTTATCATGCAACATGACAAATGCAAAACCCTTTATATAATAGTGAATATCAAGGGCCAACATAATAAATTATCATAAGATACTGTGTTTTAAGAATTAATCCTCTCGTGTGTAAATTTTATATGAATTCGATCACACATAAAGTTTATATCTATTTATTTTTTTTAAAAATAGATATTCACTAAGGTTAATAAGCCCTGTTTATTGAGATATGTAATTTCTCCCATCTTTCTTAATTATTTTCTTCTAAATAAAAATAAAAAATCTTTTGAAAGATTTTTTACTCATTCTTTTCTTGCGTAAGCCTACTGATTAAATTTTTATTGTTAAATTATCTTCACATAATCTATGTTAAGACAAATCTTATATAAAAAAAATCACAGATATTTGTTATTTAATTTTTAAGTTTTAGATAAATTTTTGAAAAATGTGATACAATATAAAAAAAAATGAGAAAAATATTATAACAACCAATTAGGGTTACTACCAATCAAGTTCACCGTTAGATTGATTATGTTGATACAACAGTTATATTTATTTCTATCTTTGTATGGTTATGATTCTCCATATTTAAATACTTTATATTTATTTTCACTTTTGTATTGTTATCATTTTTCATATTTAATGCCATATAGAGAATCATAACCATATAAAGCTGAAAATAAATATAACCGTTGGATCAATATAGTCAATTAAATAGTGAAATTGATTGGTAGTAATCCTAATTGAATGTTACAATATCTTATCCCTAGAAATAAAACCAAATATTGCAAAAAAATGTCATCTTTAGACAGAAAAAACAAAGATATTATTGCTAGTAAAATGGGTGGTGGAGTGGAAAATTTCTTAAGTAGAGCATATGTATCCACTTGGATACATCTTTTCTCTAAAAGTGAAAAAAAATTTCATCCTCTTTAAATCCAACTTTTAACTTATATTTTCATCTAAGTTTCAAATTATTATTATTTTTGGGCAGGATGTACTTATATTTGCTGCACCCAAAATTTGTTTAATGGAGTAAAGGCACGAGGGAGGGAATTTTTTTTTAATATTACATGTGTACTGAACTCGGTACACTCATTTACTAAAATAAGAATTTTTATATTTTAACCTTTTTTTATATTTTCTTTTATATCTCAAAATTTTTTCTCATTTAGTGAGGGGTAAATACACCCGTTATATCAAAAGTTTGCTTGGAGGGTGGAGAGAACATCTATGGTCCATCGGATGCACTCAAATTCGTTATATCGGACTATATCTTATTAATAAGATATAATATAAAGTATAAAAATTAATTTTATTTTTTTCTGTTCGATACAATGCACACTGATGTGACGTACTTCTGTTAACGCGATATACGTGCTGATATTGCAATATATTTTTCGCGGAGGGAGGTGTTATTATATCCATATTTCCTCCACAAACTTTCTTTAAATAATATAGAATCATAGATAGATATTTATGCCTTCAATTAATTCAATGAGTTGTTAAAAGGGTAAAGGATTTTTTGAGCTATGATAAATTTAAAATGATATTGTTTTAGGACAGAAATTAATGTATTTTTGTAATTCTAATATATTACAGGGTTATATTAGTCTTTATCATTATAATTTTTTAATTTTCTAACCCAAAACAACATCGTTTTGAGCAATTTTCTAACCCAAAACAACTATGTTTTGAGCTCACTGAAGATAATTTTATCTCCGATGACCGAAGAAATTTTTTTTTATTAAAATTAAAAACTTGCAAAATGACACAGTGTGTGTGTTTATTATCTCTCTTTGTTTAATTGCTTTTTTTTTTAAAAAATATTTTATTAAATATTTAAGTAAAACTATTAGTTTGATACAACTCTTAACCTACTTAATTTTTTAATTAAAAGTTATATTTATTTTATCTATTTTTTTGTTTTGTTATAAAAGAAATTACTTGTGGGTCCCGTATGGTCACATGTCGCTTATTATCTTTCCACGTGTATGGTAGAGGGCAATAGTAAAATTACGAGTAAACTACATATTCTCAACAAAAATTATAGGAACATTTTAATTCATTAGAAAAAAAAAAAGTTGATTTATGATTTCTCTAAAATTCAAAATACATTCAATTAGTTAAATTATGATTTCTCTGAAATTCAAAAAATACTCACGATAATCCCTTAAAATAATTAATATGAGTCTATTTTTAATTTTAGAGAGACTAGGAATCAATTTTTTCTCCCTAAAAATTACACTGACCCAATAATATTTATTGATGAACCAAAAAATACTTTACTCTAAACTTAAAAATTGTCCAACCAAACCCCCAAGGGTAGCTCAGTTGGCAGCTGAGCTCCCAAAGGATTGCTTGGTGCAGGGATCAAACCCTGCCTCAAGCAATTTCTTGGAAAATCTTTGAGGCCAGAGGAAAAGCCAAATTACAATGAGGGGCTAGCCCAAATGGGCCGTACCCCGAGAGCATGGTGCTCGGAGAAGGTTGAATTACAATGAGGGGCTAGCCCAAACGGGCCGTACCCCGAGAGCATGGTGCTCGGAGAAGGTTGAATGAGGATACCTTCTGGCAATGTACCAAAACAAAAATAAAAATTGTCCAACCATTCCTAACAAGCAAAACTCTTACCATAAAAACGACAAATCTTTTTTATTTAAATACATTATTATTATATTTTCATAATAAAATACGAAATACATGTAGGAATGACAATAATTAATAAATTGACGTAAACATATAAAACATCATTTTAAAAATGAACAAAAAGAATTAGGTGATAAGAAATGACAATGGATAAATAAAAATGAAGAATAAACAATTTCAAAGATATATTATTATTTCAAAGAACTGGCTAATGCCTAACAGTATATTAAGAAGATATTTGACTAGTCATAGATAAGAAGAAGAAGATATTGACCAAGCAATGAAAAAAATAAATAAAAATACATAATAATTAACGGGAATACATTAATTAAGAATATATTTCTCAAGTGGAAACTATTAAGAATATTTTTTTTTTAAATCTTACATATATTTTTTTTATAAATGAAATAAAATTATCTAATACAAAAAAATGAGAAATGTATTTTTCTTAAATTAAAGGATTTGTTTTTCTGTAATAATTATATTTTTTTATATTGAACTCAAAATGAAGTCGTTTTATGACGAAATTAATATATTTTTATAATTATAATTTATAATAATCTTTTTAATTATAATTTTTTAATTTTTAAACTCAAAACAACGTCATTTTAGAAGTAAATATAAATAATTTACCTGTATTGTAGAAATATTAAAGTCTAAATTACATAAGAGTTCATTTTTTCTGTGGTTACTGCAAATAAGTTATCTGCAGTAAGTCCAATACGACGTCATTTTGGAATGAAAATCATGGTGTATTTATAATTTTAATTTATTTCAGGATTATTATAGTCTTAATAATTATAATTTTTTAATATTTTATTCTCAAAATGAAAGTAAATACAGATAATTTATCTGCAGTAACTGCATAAATATTTTTCTCAAAACATTAAAGTTGTTAATTATTTTTAAATAAAATATTAATATATTATTATTTACTCATTAATAAGTAATTTTAATAAAACTGCTTACCTAAACTCTTATTTTATTATCCTAAGTTATGCTAATTACTTGTTTTAAAAAGTCTATAGTTTGCTTTCTCTGATCTCCAAAAAGTTGCTTTGTCTTCGTTTTCTCTTTCTGACATTCTCAAGAGCGAGTTTCAGGGTCTTTTGCGATCTTCGTGCTCTTAGTGGTTCCGATTGTTTCTCTTGTTTCAATTTGTCCGCTTCTCACTCACTCTTTTGGTTTCTCTTTCTTCACATTCCCTCGTCCTCTATTTCGGACCCATTTGAGCCAATCTCTCTTCCATTTCTAATTTCTAGTCAATTCAAATCCTATCCCCATCCTTTGATCTAAAGTTTAGAACTTGTTTTCTGGGTATGCAAGATACTCACATATGCAGTTATGGGGTGCCATCAAAACAACAACTTTGGATGACATCTTGGGTTGCTAACTAACTACTTTTGTTGTTGTTGTTGTTGTTGCTATTGATTTTGTAATAGAAAATAATAAAAGAAAGGCTTGTGGGGGAGGTGCAGTGGATTACACAGATCTGCACTTTATGGCCATGTGTCTATATTCTATTACTACATAAACGAGAGAAAGAGAGAGAAAAGGGGTGATTTTTATTTTATTTTTTTAAAATGGTTTTGCAATTAAAAAAAATATATCATTCTTATCTTATCCTTACCTTGATTGATGAGGGAAGAAGCTGAGTCACTACCATTTAGCAATTTCAATTTCTGAAAAGGGGTGTAATTGTGTTCTGTTGTGGGTAGTGTAATAGTTCATATCATAACAGGTTTGAGAGGCTTAAGGAGGAGTTGGGGATTGTGAAGGATTTGAATTTTGTTGGTTTTCACAAAAGGGTGTTGTGACGGATTCATCAAGAGAAGAAAGCGGGTGTTCAGGTGGTCTGGAGTGCATTTTGGGCATTCTCAGGGCCCTTAAGATGGGGTCCTGCTTTTCTGCTGAAAGCAGGAGCCCTCACCCCACTTCACCCTCCTCAGCTTTCAGGAAGAACAAGAATTCCAAAAAGAGATTTGGATCAAGAGCCACTTCCTTTGAGTATTGGAGGAATGAGCCCCTTCATAGGATCCCTGGTAGGATCTTCCTCAATGGCTCCACCCAAGTTGCCTCCTTGTTCACTCAACAAGGCAAGAAGGGCACCAATCAAGATGCCATGATTGTTTGGGAGGTTAGATTAGATCTTTTCTCTCTCTCCTTTTTTAACTTTACATTTTTATATTTAGCCAATACACCTATTTGTGTTTTCTTTCTTTTTTAGCTGGTTTTCCAACATTTTTTCTACTTTTGTTCACAACTCAGATCTTATCCTGTCCAAATATTAATGAGATTAGTATACCTCACCTGTGATTTACTACCTTGCCATATATGCACATATGTTGTTTTATGTTTTGTATATACACTCTTCTAAGTCTTATACTGATCCTTGTATGGTGTTTCCTACTTTCTGTTGATTTTGCTGTAACGTGTCTTGATCAAGCAATACGTTCCCATGCCTTCTTTACAAAAATGGTTTTGTACATGGTAGTGGTAGCCACTGATCTTTTATTTACTACATCTTTGGCTATGGATGAAAATAAATGGTTTTGGTTACGTGATTGTGCATTAAGGATCTTATATTTTATTCTGCTGGGTTCACTTGATGAAAGATGATGGATGATTTAAGTCCTTAAAGATCTTAGATGAGCTTCCCCACCCCTCTACATGAATATAGATATTTAGCTAGTGAACTTATCAGAAAATTTGTATTTTCTGATAGCAATTGTTGATGCTTTCCATTTGGTTTTTCTGTTGATTATTGTTTAATAGTGTTTTTGCTGCTTCTGTTTATCATACAATGCAGAACTTTTGTTCTAGACAAGATACAATCTTCTGTGGAGTTTTTGATGGTCACGGTCCATTTGGTCACATGGTTGCGAAAAGAGTGAGGGATTCTCTTCCTCTAAAACTGAATGCCCATTGGGAACCTAGTATGCCTGGTGAGGAAGTCCTCAAGGAGATTAGCGTTAATAATGCAGGAAGCATGAACTCAGAAGAGGCCACATTTGTATCCGCTGACGAGGAATCCAGGGCATCCATTGATGTTGAAGAAATAGAAAAACACCCAGAAATCTTTCAGACACTCAAAGAGTCCTTTTTGAAGGCATTCAAAGTTATGGATAGAGAACTGAAGAATCACCAAACCATTGATTGCTTCTGTAGTGGGACAACAGCAGTAACTCTGGTTAAGCAGGTGTTGACTCATGACCTTTGGAATATTAGTGATTCTCTTATCAATGACAAATTTTATTAGAATTGTCTGCATGTGAATAATTTCCGACCATAAAAGATTTCGCCTTATTTATAGGGTTGTGATCTTGTTATTGGAAATGTTGGCGACTCTAGAGCTGTGCTGGGTACAAGAGAGAAAGATGATTCTCTTGTTGCAGTCCAGTTAACTGTGGATCTAAAACCCAATCTTCCAGGTATATCTCTCATCTGAGAAATTCTTGTCTACTTTGTTCAACAGTGGCATCAGATTGCTGAGCATCTTAAATCAAGCCAAGGAGACTATTGAAATATCATTGCTTTCTTATTTAAGTTCAAATAAATGTAAAATACTTTCGCAAATTGTATCTAACCTACCAAAAGTATGACAAAAGTGGAAGATAGTTAAGATCAGTTCCATGAAGAACAGAGTTTAGTTGAAATATGTCCCATTTGTTATGAAGTTATCTCTATCATGCGAGGCTTTCCTAGAAATATTTTTCTCCCACAATCATGTGCTGATGTACATGCATATGCATTTTCTTGATGCTATAGGAATGATGTCTGCATATGTCCAAAAATTTCAGTTTGTGCTTCAAACATTATAGTGAGATATGACGCTTCTGCTCTTCTAGTTTTTGGAACCCTTAAGTTTATATTCCCATTCAAGTGGAGTCCTTATTCACTTTTGATTGGAATTTGTTGTTGTTGTAAGCTTCTGCTCTGCTCCTTCTTTTCTCAGTTCTATTGTGTGCAAAACACAAAGGGTATTAGAATAAATTGTGTTATTCTATCAAATATTTATGTGTTAAACGGCAGATAACACAAAAATTTTAATTCTATGCATTGGCCATCAAATAGCTAACAACACAAGGAATTGTTCACTCCCTCAGCTACTTGTGCTATACTGTTCTGTTTTATTGTCCCTCAATAATCAATATGCATCAAACAGATCCTAAATGATCACTGAACTAGGACTGATCAGTTTTAGAAGTTATAATTTACTTCTTCATTGAAATTTATTCTTATGTGATAATATGGGCATATTCTTGATCGTGTGTAAATTTATGCAGTTATTGGAAATTATAAATGGTCCAAGTAGTACCCTAACAACATGAGATGTGGGACACTAGGCTTATTAGTGGACAAAGATACATGCTTTTGAATAATTAATCTACATATTTACGTGAAATAATGTTGAAGTAGGCTATTAAATGGACATCTGTTCAGGTCGAGGGTACTGAATACTAAATTGTCCATGGGAATGGATAGAATTTTACATCTGTTATTCATGGTTTCTGTCTAAACATACTCTGGGGAAAAGATTTCAGCTTATCTATAGCTTTGTTTTAAGTTGGCATAGTTCTGTACTGCTATTTTTCATGATGAGTCACGTGTGCGTATTGTCCACAAGTCTTCCCTTATTTATTTTCCTCTCTTACAGCCGAAGCAGAGAGAATTCGCAAATGTAAAGGACGTGTTTTTGCACTTCAGGATGAACCTGAAGTTGCTCGAGTCTGGTTGCCAAATAATGATTCCCCCGGCCTTGCCATGGCAAGGGCATTTGGAGATTTTTGTCTTAAGGATTTTGGTCTGATATCTGTTCCAGAGGTATCATACAGAAGACTCACTGAGAAGGATGAATTTGTTGTCTTGGCAACAGACGGGGTAGGAGACCTTACTTGTAATTGCAATTAAAATATTTTCCATTTTACTTGAAGTGAGATTGTCTTTAAAGCGCACTGAGTGAGGGTCTATCCACCCTTGAATTTGTGTATAGATCAAGATCATAAAGGGCAAATCCCGGTGCTCAAGATTCCTTGACTTGCAAGGATAGGGATAATAGTCGATTACACCCAGCTTTACCTTTGTATGCGGTCTCCCAGACTCGAACCCATGGCCTTCTGGTCACAAGGAGTCACTTTACCGCTACTCCAAATCTCCCTTTCTTAGATTAAGATCATAATGCCCTTTAAATTAAATGAAGGGTAGATGTACCCTTGCTCACTTGAGAGAAGCCTTATTGTGTTTTTTTCATATGAAGTTTGGTGATATTTTTTTAATGGCAGATTTGGGATGTGCTATCAAACAAAGAAGTGGTAGACATCATAGCAGCCGCGCCAAGGCGGTCCACAGCGGCTCGATCACTGGTTGAGTCAGCAGTTCGAGCTTGGAGATATAAATATCCAACTTCCAAAGTGGATGATTGTGCTGTGGTTTGCCTCTTTCTGGACTCAAACATGGAACAACAAATATCAAGTGCTTCTCATGCTAAGTCCAAAGAGCAGGCTAGTTCAGGGATCCAAGTGAATGGGGATGACGGGGAAGATGTTTCTGGACCTAATGTTCTGGTAAGGTCAGGAACTTGCAGGGGAAGCAATGGTACTAATGAAGAAAGCAACGAAGAAGAAGTGTGCAAGGAAGAAGAAGAGGAGGAGGAGGAGATAGATGCTGAGTCAGAAAAAGAATGGTCTGCTCTTGAAGGAGTATCTCGTGTAAACACATTATTAAATCTTCCAAGATTTGTACCTGACAAAGAAGACAAGGATGCTGCTGGAATCAGAAAACGCAAATGAGATGAAATTATTGATTCAAGGAAGGAATATTATTGAGTTGGTCCTTTTACTTTTTCTTTTTTTCATCATTATTATAGAATATAGATACATACCTTTTTTCTTATGTTGTTCTTTTCACATTTCTTTCTAGTTTTTATATAACCTTGTTCCCACCCATTGTTTTGGTCTTAAATTTGAAGTGGAGAGGATGGCCGGGCTATTTTAGTGAGTCTGGAAATAAGTCCTTCCTCTCTTTGTGTGCTTAAAATTTTTGTAAAAACAAACTCTTCATTATACATTAATATTTTATTTTATTTTATTTTTTTTGGATAAAGGGTTTACTTTTTTCTATTGGCAATTTCTAGCGTGGTTCCCGTGTTTGTGTGATCATGCTGTTGATGAGGGACAAGGGAATTGTGATAACGATGCGGATAGTGGTTGGTTTCAAAAATAAAAAAAAAATCAAATGGAGTGGTCTTTATATTTTAAGCTTTTACATCTTTCTTTTTCATTTGGCAATTAATGTTGTGTGGTGTTGGCCGGTGCCAGCAGTAACTCATGCATATGGATTGATAATTGTGGGGGTGGTGTTGCCTGTGCCAGCGGGATGCTGATGCACTCTGTTACATCGATATTCCAATATGTTAACTTTTAAAAATATTAAATTTTGACATACGACGAAATATTTTGATATTAAATAATATTTATACTTTATATAATATATATTATATTTAATAAAAAAATAAAGCTAAATTTATAATATTATTAATTTTGTAAAGAAACATAAGATATTTTAAATATTTATATTAAATTCAATAAAATGGTAATCATAATTCAATAAATCTAATAGTTTGAATTAAAAATTTAACGCAATATTTGAATTCTTTTTTAAATTTCTGCAACGTGTGTTGAAATGTTAGATATAGTATATCGGATTTTTTGAAATGTCGATGCATCATAGCAAATGCATATATGAGTAATATGACAATCAATGGAATGGTGTCTAGATTCATTAGTTTTTAAGGTGATGTGATTGTGAAATGTCAATTTGTGTTGAAAGTTTGACAGAAATCAATATATATATATATATATATATATATATATATATATATATATATATATATATATATATATATATATATATATATATATATATTCATTGATCTTTTTTGATCTAACGGCTATAAGATGAGTTTGAAACCGGTGTCAAAGGATCCTACCTTTTATATATATATATATATATATATATATATATATATATATATATATGACAATTATCATAACTGTTACATTGATGAAAATCAATAGTTAAAATTTGATATCAAATTTTATAATTTAATACTTGTATTAAAGAATGTATATATAACTGTTAATTGACGAAAATTAATGGTTAAAATTATATATATATATATATATATAAGGTAGGATCCTTTGACACCGGTGACAAATTTCAAATTTGGCACCTCATCTTATAGCCGTTAGATCAAAAAAGATCAATGACTCTGATTTGTAAACATGTGACTCCATTGATCTTTTTTGATCTAACGACTATAAGATGATATGTCAAATTTGAAATTTGACACCGGTGTCAAAGGATGCTACCTATATATATATATATATATATATATATATATATATATGACAATTATCATAACTGTTACATTGATGAAAATCAATAGTTAAAATTTGATATCAAATTTTATAATTTAATACTTGTATTAAAGAATGTATATATAATTGTTAATTGACGAAAATTAATGGTTAAAATTATATATATATATATATATATATATATATGGCAGAATTATTTCTATCATTTTATACTTATGTAAGATATACTCTTAATTTTAAATTTTGATTCTAATTGTATAAATTATACTTTTAATTTTAATGGTGCTCTAACTTATTAGTTAGATAAATTATTGAATATAAGTACAACAATAACTAATAATGACTATTATAAAACTTCTTTTTCACGCACAGATATAATATAAGTTCATCATGTCATATATATATATATATATATATATATATATACACACACACGAGGGATGATATACTTACAATCTATTTTTGTTTATAATTTTTTATAATTTTATTTTAATTATTGATTTTCGTCAATCAATAGGTTATTATTTCTGCAAATTAAATTCATTAATTATTATTAATTCACAATAAATGATAATCGTTGATTGACTGAAATCAATATGATTGTAAAAAGTTGTAAACAAAAATAGATCGCAAGTATAAAAGTTAATCGGTTCAAAGGATTGACATATGAGACAAGTCACGGTTAATATATATAAAAGTTAATTGGTTCAAAGGATTGAGATATCAGACAAGTCACGGTTAATAAATAATAATCCCTTCCATATGGTTTAATGTTAGGATAAATCACAAATGTGAAGAAATATTGGGAAACACAAAAAGTAACACAACTGTAACCGCTATGCATGTATGTTTATTGTATACACTACAACACAATTTAATTTGTTCATGCATTTTTACTTATATTGGTTTTCCTTCCAACCAACGGCTGTAAAATTCCAGTGCCTCCAGTGGCTTATATTCCGGCACGGTGTGTCCAGCTCCCTGCACCATTCCACCAGGTACAAAACCCAGGTATCAGTAAATTATGTAAGAAAATGAAGGCTACACCTTCATTTGAATCCATTAAAATAATTGGTTTGAATTGCATTTAAATAAAAATAAAATAAAATTAAATCACTTAATGAACTTAATTAATGAATTGTTGAAAAGACCTAGTGATCATCATATCAATCTGAAAGTTTAGTTGATGTGATAATTATGTTGAATGGGATACGTTAGTGTAGTGTATTTTATGACTCACCTTGACTGTGAGGAAGATGAGGTTGTTCTCGTACCCTTGTAAGTACCTGCAGCAATTGAAAGAGCAAAGACATTTCAATTGAGCAAAATTGATGATTTTTTTTTGTTATATTATTCATCGGTTAATCAATTACACGACTACTTCGATTAGACCCAGATAGGACTACATAAGTGGGTAAGCTCCGTTAGACCATTAATTAAGCTGGAACAACCCCTTATTAATAGTTAATTCCCGTGTTTGGTGGTTCAGAATTTATGTTTTTAAGTTTATATGGTATGCATATTTGTTTTTTTTATCGGTGCCTCCAAATGTGCATATTTGCTAAGAGTTTTATAAGAATTATATTGTAGAAAAAGTGATTGTGTAATGTTATAGAGATTCGTTTTGCGTGTTGTAGTTTTTTTTTTCTTCAAAAAATGTGGGCTCCACAAAATGTTGTGTGCGTAGGAAAGTTTGTTGTGTCATGTTAAATAAGAAATGCAAACCCGTTTGCTAATTGAAAAACTTTGCAAAGATAAGTACTAGGGCATTATGTAGGTTAAGGAATAATGAGACTGGGAGAGCATTAATGTACCCAGCAACTTGGTTATTAGAGCTCCATGGCCTCCATTCATCCATTATCTTATATCCCAGAGATCGTGTCCAAGCCTCACTTCCAGTAAATGGCACACACATATCATGGTCACCACTGCCATGATCATCATATATGAAATAATGAAGAAGGATGAGAATTAAAACAATTAAGATTTATGTTCCTTTGACAAAAGTAATTATGAATTATGATCCAATTAATATTATTCAAATTCAAGATTGTGGTTGACACCTGAAAATAATTGCTCGATAGCCCATCATGGTTAGATTCTTGTGGTAAGGAATCATGCTTCCAGCATTGTGATCATACTCTATCCTTATGGTGCATAATTCCCACGAACCCGCCACACTTTCCTGTGCTTATAAATTAATCCTCAACTCATTTATGACCTTAATTGTTAAATATTAAATCATACTAATTAATAATAGTAATTACCTACCCTCTCAGCATGAATGGCTTTCCTCACTTCACCATTGTTTAGCCATGAACTTGCTACTTCATCACTCTGCACTTTGCCAAATCAAACATATAGAATTATATCATTTCAATTTTTTTTTTTTTTTTTTAATTTTAACATAAGAGTTTATATTAGAGAAAGGCACACCCCATTGAGGATTTATGATAGAACTATATACATTGCCTACTATAATGGGAAAACATATCATCATATCATTTTTATTTTATTTTAACTATCATCTATTAATTATATAGATTCATCATTGTCATGTCTTCACATTTAAATCATAAAAAAAATGTTACACATGAATCATGATATATATATAAACTATTGATTGATCAATTACTTACAACACAGTTTACATGTCCGGTTTTAGCCAATTGGGGCCATAATGTAACAAGGCCATCTTTGACTGGTGCTCTAAAGGGCCAAGCTCTACCAAACATCCTCTTCCTCACTTTGAGAGGCCTCTCAGTAACCCCTAATTGCTGGAAACTAGGTGGCAAGCTTGCAGTTCCTTTGGCTGACGTTGCAGCATCAGGGTCATGGTAACATGGCTCTAGTATATTGTACACGTTCAGCCCATCAATAGCCTGATAGCATATATAGCAGCCATCATGTACCCAACAAAGAAACGTATTATTATTGTTGTTATTAATTTATATATATAAGGGTTAAGTGTACACAAGTATATATATAAGAGTTAAGTGTCTTTTTAATTTTTAACACTATATCTTATCAGTAAGATATAATTATAATATAAAAAGTTGCTCTTCTTCTCTCTCCACGTCAGCTGAAGTAACTGAGGAGAGAAAAAAAAAAACTTTTTATATTTTACCTATATCTTACCAGTAAGACATAATGTTAAATACTATAAGGACAAGAGATTGTGTCCTTTAAAAGCATAAACCTTTTTCCCTATATATAATATAAAAACTATTAAAATGTCCCTCACTTATATGCTTAAGTTTTGGATGAGATGGTTGTTTATTATGGTCACTGAGTCAAGATGATCACAGAGTCACGAATTTGATTCTCACTGCCTTTATTTTCTAGTGAAATTAAGTCAGCATAAGATAGAATAAAAAATAGGTCTGTGCAACATCCACGCTTCTAGAGGTCCGACATCATATTTCAACCCCAAGACATTAAGTATGGGCTTTTTAGTAATTTTTATAGGGTAATACTTTTCTTATGTTATATAAGAAAAATATTATCTTCTACTCAAACAATAAATAAGAGAGAGAAAAAAGTTGGAGGTAAGAGAAATTTTTTTTTGTGGGACCCATTTTAAAAATGTGAGTGTAAGAAATAATATTTTTCTCATGTAAGATAAGAAAAGTAATTCCCATTTTTATATTATATCTTGAGGAGAGATATTCTTACTACCAAAATTTTCTACTACCAACTCACTACCTATCTAGTCACCATGGATCAACATTTTCTCTTTTTTTAAAAAGTTTTTAGTATTCTCTCTCTTTGATTCAATGGTGATTAGATAGATAATAAGTTAGTAGTAGAAAATTTTAGTAGTAAGAATATCCCCTCTATTATATCTTTCTACAAACTGAAACCACGCATGCTGCCTTCTTCTTATTTTATATGAATATCTCACCCTATCAACTTTTTCGATGTCCTTATAGCATATACCATCACCATCCTCAGAGTAACTGTAGTAGTTTCCTTTGCAAGAAGCTTCTACCTCCTGCAAATTATGATTAAAGTCACAATAATAATAATAATAATAATAATAATAATTACAATAGAAATTGTTTTCTTATTTTACATGAAATAACTATTTCATATTTTTCTCACATAAAAAATAATGTCATCATTTTTTTAATGGGTGGTGGACTCCACCATATCATGTGTCTATAATAAAAGATAATTATCTGCAACAACATTAGAAAATAAAACCAATAATAATAAGAGAAATACTACTATCATTTTACATGAGATAGTTATCTTATTTTCTTTCACTTCGAAAATCGTACGACCTCTTTTTTATCTTTTTTTTTTTTTGCTTTTAAATAGTGGACCCTACTTGGATTCTCTCTGTTACATAAGAGAATAATTCCCCTAATAATAATAGGTCAGTTTTCGGTTTTTAAAAGTAAAAACCATATATATAGAAATAAAATTAAAAATGAATTAAAGTTGTCATTAGCAAATTAAATATTTATTCAAAGCACCTCATAGAGACTGTCGGATATGAGACCCATCCCGTGCACAAATGGGATAAGAGCATTGCCGTCAATTATTTCGTCCGTGACTCCATTACCAACCATGTAACCCTACACATGAAAGAAAAGTCAAAGATAATTAAGCAACGGTTTATACATTAGCTTCCTATAAGCCCAATTCTTTTTTTCCAAAAAAAAAAAAAAAATTGTCTAAAACATGCATTGAATTAGATGCCAAATTAATTTAAGGTATTTGCTAGGTTGAAAATGTTAGCACAGATTTTTTGATGTTTTCTTTAACACGTTCTTTGTTCTAAGTAAAATTTTATCTAATTTTTTCTGACTAACTTTATATTACTAAGGTTATACAAAATTCCACTTAATTAACAATAAATAAAATTTCAAAAAAGAGTGTAAAAAAAATGTGTTAATAACTTTTCTCTTGCTAGCTTTCATATTATACAGATCATAGAAATATTATACCTTAAAATTGATCACGGGCTTTGTACCACTCCGGATTCCTGGCATGGTATATATGTAAATAATTTGTGCTATAATAATGATCTTATAAATATAACAAGTTGGAACTAAATTAAAGTGCATATTAATATTGATATATACCTTTGACAACTTCAAAAGCTAGAGTGGGCACATAAACTCCAGCATAAGACTCCCCAGAAATATAAAATGGATTAGCCAGGAATTCCGGAAATTGCTGAAACCACTGCCAAGAAAAAATAGAAAAACAAAAATATATATCATTTTATTTATTACTATTATTATTTAGACCATGCTTCTCTATGGATAATTGTGACAAACTAATTAACAATGAAGATTGGCGTATAATAAACATTTCCAATAGAATTAATGCATGGTATACGTAATTACTACTTGGGTTAATTTGATCCTATTCTTAATCATACTTCTAATTCTAATTTTAATTCTATTTCAAACGGTAATAGCTTCTCTTGGAAGTACCTTTAAGAGGAAAGCATGGTTATCAGACGCAGTTTGTAGGTCACCAGTAACATATTTGCTTGAGTTCTTCGAGTAAGAGAGACCTACACCCGCCGGAGAATCCAAATATATAATGTTGGAAACCTGAAATTAAGATTAATAAAGTTAATACATATAAAGGTAATGTTAATTAAAATGTATATACTTTAAATACGCATTTAAAAATATAAAATGCAATTTGTAAGTGACATGCGTTTGTTAGAGTAAAAAAAATGCAAACTAAAAAAATAATACAAAAACAAACATTAAGCAATTAACTATATTTTTAAATATTCAAAATTAATGGAAACATTTTGATTTATAATCGTTGTAAAAGTATTGTATTATTTCACATATAAAATATTGATTGTTTGTTTATTAAACAAATGAGTTGGTAAGTTAAGAAAGCTATTACCGTTCAACATTGATCTCGATCAGTGTAATCCAATAACTAAAATATATATATATATATATATATATATATATATATATATATATAGGAAAAAAAGTTTCTAATGTTACTTTAGACAACTTTATCTAATATTCACCAAAACGATGTCGTTTTAGGGTTAAAAAAATCAAAAAATTAGAATGATAAATACTATTATAACCCTGAAATAAATTAAAATTACAAACACATCATGATTTCCGTCCCAAAACAACGTTGTTTCGATGAACATTAGATAAAGTTATCTAAAGTAAGTTTAGAAAAAACAAACCTATATATATATATATATATATATATATATATATATATATATAAAACATTTTTGATTTCCGGGTGTCACGTTCTTAACCTTTGACCAGCTGTAAGGATTTGTATGCAAAGTGGGAAGATTCCCTTTTGTTTTAGGAGCCTCAAAGTTGAATGGTCCTGCATGCATTAACATATAAATTATGGACAATTAATATGTGCCCATACCGTAGCAGTTGAAGATTAAATTTGATGAGAGTGACATATATATAATTAAAGATAAGTAAAATTGGCATACCATGCTCATAAACAAAGCCATCGAAGCTGGAACACCCAGGTCCACCATTCAGCCATAGAACAACCGGATCCTTCCTTGGATTTCTTTCTGAACTAACAAAGTAGTAAAAAAGGTTCTTCCCACTCTCATAGTTTCCATCAATACTTATATATCTGAACTCAATAATTTATCCCAACATCATGTACGAGAAAAGAAGAGTGTTATCATTGTGCATTATCAATGGGCTAAATATGAAACCTAAACCACATATGTCAAGATCATATCTTAACTCAAAATCTTAAATAATATATATATATATATATATAGGCGAGGGTTATGTTTACAAATTTTTTGTTTACAAACTACACTATGTACTATATAGAGGAGGGTTATGTTTACAAATTTTTTATTTACAAACTCTTACAAACTACACTATGTACTCCCGGGAGAACACTAGGTTACACTATCTTCTCCCGGGAGAACACAATATAATTTGCAAAAAATTGTAAATTTTTTTTGTAAACGGATCCTTCTCCATATATATATATATATATGATCTTTACTTAGTTTATTCCTAAATCCTAATCAACGTGTGATCTTATTATTAATCACTTACACTTAATTTTCAACAAGATAATGTGTTGCGTACCCGGAGTAGTGCTTGGAGGGGAAATTGCCTTCAAAACCAGGGAGTTGTGTGATGAGAGAGCCTGGAGGGGCAGCTTCAACAAAGATCCAACGACCGAACAAAAGCATGCAGAGTGATAGAGCGCAATCCACTAGTAACTTGTGATTGGCCATGACCATTGAGCCAATTCCTCACTCAATGATGAAATAAAGTAAGGAGCAAGTCATAGATATATATATAAATGTGAGATGTGTGTAAATATTTGACTGAAATTTATGTATAGGAAAGGTGAGGTAGGAAAATACCACGGTATTGGAAGAAAGCTAATAAGAAAAAAAGCATGTAAGTGGGAAGTGAGCATCACATTAATTAGGGAGAGAAAGTGTGTTTGATGTTTAAGTAAACCAAATGGGGATGACTATACCTTTTTGTTCTTGACTTAGAGACAATTGGAATCTCAAAGGGCCCGTGTTCAGTACTTGCGATGGCAGAAATAGTTTTCGAAGGTTTTGGAGCACTATATATATTATAAGAATTTATGATGTAATTTATTGAATACATTATTTTAAGATTTTTTTTTTTTTATGAAATGTATCCATATGGATATTGCACTATTAAAAAAGAATACAATTATAACCATAGTGCTTTATTAATTTATCTAAATACTTGTAATTCATTATAGGATACGAGTTTTTAAGAAAATTAACTATATTACACAAGCTATATATCATATACATCCAGAGAGAAGAACTAGAGATCGATTTGTAAATATCAAACCCATGAAAGGGATCATGGACAGAAGATTGGTGATTTAAAAGAGAGAGAGGGAGAAATATGCTATTATCAGGCTAAACCGCCATATTAAGTGAATCCGACACTACATCTCAACTCAAATTTTAAGGCCTTGAATTCATGGGTCATCCCACTTATATACACTATACTTAATTCATTATTAATCAATATAAAATTCATCATACTTGAATATTCCAATGGCTATAAATAAAACAAACAACTGGACAATAAATCAAAACCTCCATCACTTTCTTAAAAAAGAAAGAAAAAGAAACTCCATGTCTAAAAATTCTTAAAGAGAGGGTGGAAAAAGTAATGAGTGTCTCGATCAAGGAAAAAGAGGATATTGTTGTTGTCAAGAAGCTTCCTAACTCATTCGATGCGAATAATAATAATAAAAAAGAACCAAGAAAGGTAATAAGGGGGAAAAAAAAAGGCAAACCAAAACAAATTTTGAGTAAAAAAGTAGGTCTAGGAAAATTATTTACGAAGACTCATGAGCCCAAGTCAAACAAATTAATTAAGAGAAAGCAACTGGCTGGCTATTGCTTTGATTAGTCATATCATGGCCAATGATATGTTATTGTACACACAACACATTAGTATATAATATTTTCTTAATTAACGGAATAATGGAATTTAATCTGACGCTGGCGCTATATATATATATATATATATATATATATATATATATATATATATAGACAAAAGTATTTCTACAGTAATTATAGATAAGCTTATCTACAGCTTCCATTTTTAACTATATTCTCCCAGAAGAATATAGTTATAACGTTAAAGTTGCTCTCTTTTTTCTCTCCTCATTTACTTTTCAGAACTTTTTTGCTGACGTGGAGAGAGAGAAAAGAGCAACTTTAACGTTATAACTATATTCTCCCGGGAGAATATAGTTAAAAATGACAGCTGTAGATAAGTTTATCTAAAGTTGCTGTATAAATGTTTACCCCATATATATATATATATATATATATATATATATATATATATATATATATATATATATATATATAGGTAGGATCCTTTGACATCGGTGTCAAATTTGAAATTTGACACATAATCTGTGAGCCGTTAGATCAAAAAAGATCAACGACTCTGATTTGTAAGCATGCGATACCATTGATCTTTTTTGATCTAACGACTATCAGATGAGGTGTCAAATTTCAAATTCGACACTGGTGTCAAAAGATCCTACCTTATATATATATATATATATATATATATATATATATATATATATATATATATATATATATTTTTTTTTTTTCTTAAGAAATTTAAAAACAATTGGTTTGTCCAAATGATAAGTAATTATACCCTCATCTGTGATAGTTAGAGGAAAAAGAGATTTGATGAACGGAGTTCCAAGAATAACTCCATTTTTTAGGTTTTTAACAAGGAGAAACGGTGTTTCAACTTTTAAATTATCATTTTCAATGATTGCTTTCGGAAGTTTATAATTAACCTGAAGTTTTGAACCACTAGCAGTACTAAGCCGTTCAGAAGTCCGCTTTCCATTTCTGCTCTAGTTTACTTCATTTCCCTCCTCACACTTCCGGAACCTGTTTTCTCGCCGTAATTGTACTGCCATGAATATATCCATGCCAGAGAGAACTTTGAGAAAAAATGCAGATCTATTGGAAAGGGATCTGCTAGATTGTCGAATTTTTTGGAAACATTGGAATTCAGCATAGCAAAAGTATTCCACTGTCAAAAAAGAAGTTTTAGCAATTGTTTTATGTATTTCAAAATTTCAATCTGATTTATTAAATCAAAAGTTTTGTTCATTTTCATCTTTTAATTTAAAAGGTAAACTATCAATACTCTGAATCATTATGATGAATCTCCTGAGTCAGATAACAAATCTGAAATTAAAATTAATCCTATAACTGGTATTAATAATTGGAGAAACCCTTCCAAACTTTATTACCAAAAAGCAACTGCTCCTGATCTTCTACTTGAAGAAAAGAATACAAGTTTAGCAGAAATGGAAAGCAGGAAAGTAGACGGACTACTATATGAAATAAATGACTGAAATTAAAATGCAGAAATTAAAACATAAAATAAATTTAAGGTGAGAACCCAAGCTGTATACGGTAGGCCGAAGTCAAACTTGGGTGGAAGGATGGAGAAGAGAAGAGTTCATTACATAAGCAGATATGAAATAAAACTTTTATTCAAAACATAAAGATTGAGATTACAGTTACAGATTGAAAGATTAAAGAGAAAACAGAGAAGAAGAGAAAACTCAGAAGTACCTCGCAGTCTCTCTCTCTAGACTATCTCTCTAAACTCAGCTAATAAAAGGATGCCTTCAACATACTGAAGCAACCCTTTAAATAGATTGAAAAATTACTATTGCTACAGTACAAGTTACATGACCGGTACTGTTTGAACAGTGTAGGTTAAGTGAACAGTAACTGACTCGTGATGCTACAGTTTCTGCCGACACTTTGATTACGTCACTGTATGCGTCACCTTATGCTGACATCATGCTCATGTCATTTTGCCATCAGCGTCACTACAGTGGTTTTCTTCAACAGTCTTCTGCTAAGTTGATTCCAAAACAATCATCCTCATTTTGGTAGAAGTCTTCTGTTGAAGAAGAGATAGAAGGAGATGAAGAACCTGTCTTCTGTTTAGAATGTTTTCTCTTCTTCTCTGTTTTCTCTTTAATCTTTCAATTTGTAACTGTAATCTCAATCTTTATGTTTTGAATAAAAGTTTTATTTCATATCTGCTTATGTAATGAACTCTTCTCTTCTCCATCCTTCCACCCAAGTTTGACTTCGGCCTACCGTATACAGCTTGGGTTCTCACCTTAAATTTATTTTATGTTTTAATTTCTGCATTTTAATTTCAGTCATTTATTTCATATTCTCTCTGGCATGGATATTTTCATGGCAGTACAATTACGGCGAGAAAACAGGCATCAGACTACCATTACTCAGGAGACAAGCTTTTGTTAAATGGTGGATAGAATTTGATGCTTCAAGAGCTTACCCAGAAAATGTCAAGCTCTGGTTTAAAAAACATCCAAAAAGCATCAAGCCAGCTGATCCAGAAACCTCCTTTTTCTTGAATCAAAAGGCTCGACCTTTAGCAATGAGATCAGCAATTTCTTTTTGACAAAAGACAAGAAGTTCACCACTCATTTGAATAGGACGAGCTTTGGTTGGGATTTGCCTTTCATTAAAATCCTTTTCATAGGGAAGATCTACGATATGTTTTTTCCTTTGCCAAAAAGCATTCGGAAGATCAGAACAGATTGTATTTTGGATTTGTTCAAGCAAAACTTTCTTCAATTCCAAGAGGTTTAATAGCCACTTGGACACATCCGATGTGCAGATAGTTATAACTTTGTTTATGAGTTTGTATAGACGATTTTGAAAGTAGTTGAAATTCTTCAAATTCCTTATTTAAAGGGATATTTCTTTCAACTGTTCTGATGATATAGTCAGATTTCTGAAAAAACTTTTGATTTAATAAATCAGATTGAAATTTTGAAATACATAAAACAATTGCTAAAACTTCTTTTTTGACAGTGGAATACTTTTGCTGTGCTGAATTCCAATGTTTTGAAGTGTATGCAATGATATGCTCTTCTTCTTGGAGTAATTGAAGAATACCTTGCAAATTCTTTGCAAAATTTTCTTTGCTGGTTGATGCTGCTAATGCTGCTGTGATCTGAGCCTTTTGATTCAAGAAAAGAGAGGTTTCTGGATTAGCTGGCTTGATGCTTTTTGGATGTTTTTTAAACCAGAGCTTGACATTTTCTGGGTAAGCTCTTTATATATATATATATATATATATATATATATATATCGAGTATGTTTTGCGTTATTGTTTTCATTCCTTCGCCCTTCAACCTCCATTCAAGTTGCTCGCCAGTGCAATCTACAGTTATGCACTTATGCTGCTCATGACTAACGAGACCAAAGGGCACTTAGGCTAAGGAAAATAGTGACTTGCAAATGGCGCAAACGCAATTAGTGGGAAATCAATGATGGCGTTGATTTCAATGAATCGTGCGTTTTGGTGGGTCTTTCCCCCTTTACTTTTCACATAAATTCATTCAAAGATAATAAAAAGAGACAAACGTGGTTCTCATTTTTTTCAATTCGCTTTTTATGGGTGGTTGATATATAATGGGAATATAGTTTTTTAGGTTGTAAGAGTCTATGAGATAAAATTGTCGCAATATACAAAAAAAAAAGCTGGTGAAACCTATAAAAAGAAGAGAGAAAAGTAAATAAATGGGATGCGTCAATTTTTTTTATGTATGCATGAGATAAGATTATTTCGTGGAGAGATTATATATCCGTATATAATTAATACTTGGTAACGTTATTGCGTTGGTACTATT